GTAGAATGGTAAACACCATGCGGGTTTAGATGAGACTTCCTCATATTCAGGATGAGACCTAGACTTGTCAAAGAGCTGTAGTGTTTGGAGGATACTCATTACCTGCTGTAGGCATCTGCTCATTGCTCACCAGCTGCAGAGGTGAGGAAAGACTGGGGGAGCCTGTTGTCTCTGATCTGAGAGATTCACCTCTGCTGTTGGGCCCTGGAGGAGAGTTTGCCAAGACTGATTATAAGACCCTTGTCCTGCTCACTGTTATGATTCATTGTGGACTAAAGATATTTTCTAGTCAAGCTGTAGAGTAAGGAAAAGGCACACCAAAATCAATTGATGCAAACAAATCCTCTTTCCTGAGTGGCAAAATTATCAGAGGCTATTTCAGATCTGAGTCTGTCAATAAAACCATTACTTGGCTGTCTGTGCAAGTGAAATAAGCAGGGCAAGGCTACCAGCTCTATAGTTTGATCATCCATGCTGTTTAATTGCAAATCTCCCTGGCACAGTTTTGAGCTTGGTCCCAGATAATGCCTGGGCACACAGCACATGCCAGGGACTATTCTCAGCGGGCAGTCAGTGTTCCTTGTTGTGGGGAGTGAAGACAGTTACATCATATAACGTAAGTGCTGGACCACTTACCCATAGGAACAGAGAAGAGGCATGGATGTAGCTTGCAAGTTTAAATGAGGACCACAGCTCTGGCTTTCCTTTGACCACAGGGACTAGTGGCTGTAAATCCTTTGCACTGTGAGAATCTCCTGCTATACCTGATTAAGCATCTATTTCCCACCAGACCAAGCTCTCATAAAACGTCCCTAAAAAGAAAGGGGGTAGGTGGTCTTGCAGAGAACAGGAAGTTTAATTATCGAATTATGGGAGGCAGTGTCTGCTCATAGCCGAATGTTATTTTCTCATGGGCAATGTACACATGAGAAAGGAAGGGAAGGCAAGGAAGGGAAGGAGAGGAAGAACGTGATGGTCAAATGAAGTCTTGAAATCCCCCAATGCTGATAATCTGGGAGCATTCCAAAGTAAGCACATGAATTTGTGAGAAACTTAGCGTAGTAGATGTTGGTCTATCTCATTAGTGATCTTTAGATTGCTGATGAGAAGAAAGAGGAGCCGAGTGCTCCTGAGGATGTGCTCAGCACTAGAGAAGTCTCTCTAAATATTTCAGAAGACTAGGAATCCTTGAAGCATTTTGAACAATGCAAAGTGAGATGACTTCCAGATGTTGCATGGGAGGCACAATCCAAGAGCACTTTTTCCTTTCCACTCTGAGGCAGAAGAATGAGGAAGGGAAGACTGAAAATGAGAGACTCTGGGCTCAAGCCAAATAAAAGAGATATGCTAAGAAGTTATCTCTAAGAGCTGTATACATAACACTTTTGCAGGTTGACTGTTTTCTGGGTATCTGGTTTACTGGTTGACAAACAAACAAGGAATTCTACCTCGCATCAGGACATTTCCTGTGGACAATGTAAAGCTGGTGGGTGTGCGTAGCCCCTAAATCCATAAAGGTGAACAAACATTCAACAAAATATGAATTTAAAAAAAAAAAAAAGCTGAGAAAGAAAAACCACACCCCAAGTTTGAAGCACAATGCAAGTGAGAAAATAATCTGAGGAACATGTTCCGATTTAGCCATAAGGAAAGCTGGGAAGCTGGGTACACTCTGCTCCTCTCGATATCCACACATGCAGCATTTTGAGCAGGGTGTGGGACTGTGCCCTTGGGCACCCACAGCACGTCTGTGCTTATCACTTCAAGGACAACAGACTTTGTTCCTAAATGCAGTTATTGGAAATTCTATCATTCAGTGAAATTACAGCAAGACTGAATTTGGCTTGAAGCATTATTATGTAGCCTTGAAAATGTTCTCCTCATAGAGTCAGAAATGGCCTAAAATCCAGGAATTCTTGTTAAGAATTAACACTGGAAACAGCATTGATGTCACTTACACATGTGCCATGCTGGGTACCTGGAAGTACATTTAGAGCAGGCAGTAAACAATGGCAAACAAGGGGAAGTAGAATTTTGCCTGCCTTTTAAATCTATATTTACGTCTATATTGCGATGTACCTGTATACAGCACTCTGCAAATCAAGATACACTTTTATTGACCTACTTGTGTTCCAGTTTATTGCTAGTGACAGCTGTTGTCAATGATCTGGAGAAAATAAATTGAGAATAAAGCAAGGAGACACTGATTGGTCAAAAAAATAGTTATTGTTTTAAACCAAATATAAGGGATTTAGTGTCTTAAAAACTTTAGAGTCTGATTAAAATGAAGAGTCTAAAGCCGTATCTGGATTACAGTAATTCAGAACTTCATGGATTATGAGATGAAACACTTCATAGGCATCATTTTGGACAAGCTGCCATTAGGATTACTACATCATTTTAGACCTACTGTATTGCATTTCTTCAAATCCTCTGCTGTGGTACTACAGGAATTTGAAAGACATTGGCTGCCATGTTTAATTCGATCCTTCTAACATGCGAGTCAAATTGGTTGACATTTAACATTTGCAGCCAGTCTAATCTGCTACATTTCAGTGACTTCTCTGCACAGTAATTTCAGAATCAAGGTCTACAATAGCTGGTATTCTGGTGGTGTTTCACAGATACAGGTTGTGGATAAGAATTGTAGTACATGAAAATCTCTCTCCTCTAGTTAGCACAATAGGCATTTAACTATTTCTATTTTTTTACGGGCAAATTAAGACACATTTGATTCTGTGTTTTATCTTATTTGGCTTTTTAGATTGCTTTTTTTAATGGGCCACAGGTTCCTTGGGGACATTCTACATGGAAGGCACCATACATGAACGATTTAATTGTATCTCTCTCTGAAAAGGTGAAACAGTTTTCTTGAACATGTCTGCCAGAGAAATCACATGTATCACTAATGGAGGAAGCAAGTGATAGAAGACTCTAAGGCAATAGAGACAGTGAAAAAAGCAGTTTTCCTATGACAGTATTCCACGGGAAAAAACGAAACAAACCAGTCCCCCCATTTTTGTTGGCATCTTAAAGGAAAATCAGAGGAAGATACAGTAGTTCTGTTGTAGCTGTTTCTGACCGATTTTTTTCTAATCCAAACAGATGAGCATGTCGTACAATTTTTACTTTTATCAGGCACACTGATACCTTTCTGGTTTGTATGTATATGTTTAAACTGCAGAAAAATAGAACAGTTGAAAGTAAATCACAGATGATAAAGTATTTTAGGAGATATGAAGAGTTAGGTAGTACTTCTAAACGGTTTCAAATTTCCTCAATGGATATTGCTGAATACATGTACCAGAAGAGTTTAAAACATGGAGGGAGGTGGAGAAGGAGGGAAAATAAGAATATATACATGGGAGAGAGTTTTCTCAAAAAGGGACAGAAAAACTGATAACATTTATTCAACTTGCATCTCCTTTTCACTGCCATGAATACACAGAGAAATTAATCTCACCAACCTTTTTTTGACATACAAAACAGTTACATCCTTTTGAAGTCTATGGGAATTATTTTATACCTTATACTAGGAAACTTGGATTCTCTATATGAGAGGCTGCTGTCCCTCAGGTTGTCCCTGGGACCAGGTAGGTGGTGGTATTATTATTATTATTATTATTACGATATCCCAGAAAATTATTATTATTATGGTATCTGGTAGAAAGCAGTTGCTGAGGAAACAAAGCTGTTATCTCGGGTTTCCCTTTGGTATAAAAGAGGTAGACATGTTGTGGGTCGAAAGGCATGTCAAGGTCACACAGCTTATGGAGCTCCAGGAAGTCTGAGGCATAGCTTGAAAAGAACCTCTTCTACACTAGGCAGAAAAAAATCAGTATTTTCAGGCCAGAACATTACCAGTCAAAAAGAATCTAGGATTTCAACTTTCAGTTTCACCTTTATACCTTATCTAAATAATACCACATCCTAAATGACCTTGGGAAACAAACCAGCAATTTTAATTTCCCAAAAAGAAAAATGAAAGAATTACAAGCTTAAATTATTTTCAGAGGAGAAGAGCAGGGGATGTTTGAAGGATGTAGTGGAGGTCGGGAGGGCCAGGTATCCCTTCAGGTACTCATGCTAACCACTGATGTTTCCTACTCTCCCTGCCTTTGTGCTACCTTTCTCTGAGCAGCAGTAGCAACGACAGCAGCAGCTGTCAAGGTTCAGGGATGCAAGGCTCCCATATGTCCTCTCCCCCTGCTCCAAATGGTGCACAAGAAGGGTGCCCCTCTCAGCCCACCTCAATACGGTTCTGCATATATTAACAGTCTGATGTGTGCATAGTTAATGCCAGAGCCCTGAGGGTACTAATAAAGCCTTAATGTCTCTGACCTGCCTCATGTGGGGCATCCCCCCTCTGCCCATGGGCTAAAGAAATCCATTTAAGCTCAGGTCTGTGCCTTCACTCCCTGTCCAACTCATTGTAAATGGGCCTGTCTTCGGCCCTTTCACAATCATACTTGTGCCTGCCCATGGTCCCCACTGATCTGTACCCTGACCTGAGCACTGTCTTCCTGGCTAGACCTCAAACCTGCCTTGTCACTATGCATGCCTGGCAGTCACTGGGCTGTGCCTGACCCTCATGGGACCTCATCCTGACCTGACCTTGCATCTGCCTCACTGTGGACTTGCCTTAGGATCTAGGTGCTTGGCTGAAGTTGATTCCACTCTTGGGCCTGCCCTGCTCACCTTGCTTGGGTTGTGGGACTGGAACCCTGGCTGGCAGTCTGCCCTGACAGCCATGTTCTGCTCCTTGGCTCCTGGGTCCCTGTTCTTTAGGGAGCAGCCAGTCCTCACTGCTCCCTGACGATTAGAAGCCTAATTTATGATGAAAAATGAGTTTACATAGTATGTCTCATTCATTTCTCAGAGTACACTATTACTATAACACTTCTGGCCATGTCTCAGTTCCTGTTGGGCAAAATGTATTTTTCTCTCTTTAGACGCAACAAATGACATTGTTTTCTTTTTTAAAAGTCATCTGTACTTACATATCATCAAAGGTAAGCTTTGTCCTTCTGCAGTCCCTGGGCGTGCTGGACAGAGGTGACCAAGACTCTGTTTGAGACTGTGGCTTATTGCAGAGAAGAGCATTTTCTGAATTGTTGTGAATTGCTTTCTAGACAACAAACAGCAGAGAAGACATTGAGAAACTGGCTACTAACTTCAAAAAAGCAACTAATAAGCCACAGAGCATCTTTGCATTGTGTTTTAAATTGGCAGTTAGTTTTCCTACTATTTCAGCAGGGAGTATGTACAACATCAGTCTTGTCACTGATAGCCACAAATTCACAGATATTGCTCAGAGCACTTTGCAAAGGGCTTGAGTTTCAATGTGATATACAGAAGAAATAGAGCAGAACTATTTGTAACTATCAAAACACTCTGAAACACAGTAAGTGAAATTATTAAAGAATAGCTCTGTTGTGACCATTTAGAAGATCAAGTTATATGTCTAGTCTTCAGCTTCCAAACTGGCATTGTACCTTTCCCTGGGAGACCAAGGCTCACTTGTTTGACTTGTTTCATGTTGCACTGCTGATATGCCAATGCTGTATGAATTTGTAGCCCATGGTCCCAGTTTCTTTCTGCTTTGGGTCCCTGATCAGCTTGAAAGACCACTGCCCTGTGCCAAGCAGATCAGGTCTTTTGGTAGAGTCTCACACATTTCCTCAGCTGCAGCCCTGTTTTGCACATGGCCTCATGAACCCTTTGTCCTACCAAATGACCTGCTGTGTGGGTTACTAGACACTGGTACAGTGCAGACCAGAGGGCCCCAGGTTGTTTTTGGTTGATAAACACTCAGAAAACACCATGTGACAGTCAGAAATGCAATAGGGAAATGTACAAAAAGGCCACTCCCTGGCTTGTGGCCTCTGACAGAAATTCCAAAGACAACTTGGGCATGCCAGCTAGGTGTCAGAGGGGAAGACGGGCTCAAACAAAGCTAACTTTAACATTTATAGTTCATGAGCTCTCATCTTCTATATGTCACATCCAAATTCAGCAGGTTAAAGTTTTCAGATGAATAGCCAGATACGTAAGAATTTTATTGCAAAGGTTGTTAAAATGTTGATCAAATGGTGCATTGCTAGGGTATGCAGAAAATCTCAGTGAAATGCATTTGTAAAGGGTGTGGATCATAAAGCAATCACCCTTTACTTTTGATTTCCAGCACATTTGCCTGTGAAGGAATTTGAAGTGTTTCAAGATACTCAGTGAAGACTCACATCATTATAATTCTGAATGCATTATAAACCTCTAAACTTATGTTTTAGAAGCTAAATGTTTAAAAACGTACATTTAATCCATAAAAAATATACTAACGACTACAATATGTTAAAATGCTTTTTATTGGAGTATTTTAATGTAATTAATTTTAATTCCATTTACCAAAAGCATCTATGAGATATTCTTGAAACACGTATTTTATGATAACTTGTTTTTTAGAAAGTGTCCAAACTTAAGATTACAATTGCTACTTCCTCCTCCACCCTCAAAAAATAAATATATTTAAGTATATATACTTAAAATATACTGTGGGGCCAGTTATCCCCACAGCAAAAGTGGCTGGAAGAGACCACTCCTGCAACTCAGGTAGTTTGTTTTCCTGTAAGTTGCTTAGGCACCAATACTTAGGCTTTTGAAGCCTCTTATGTACCAAATAACAAATACAACAAATAGATACAGGATAAAATATATAAATGGCTTTTGTAGCAAGGACAGGATCATGGGCTTTTCTAGCAGCAGCAGAAAGCCTTAATGGCTTGACTAGATGCTCCAGCAGTGGACATCAACACGATGGTACCCAAATTGCTCCTTCTAGGTATTTCACACAAAGCAGAATAGCTTCAAGGGAGAACGTGACAATATTCTGCCCTTAAAATTCTACTGGCAGTGTCTCATAGGCTGGAGGGGAGGGTATGATTTTGAGAGATGAGAGCGAGATGTGAATTCTCTCAATCAGAAGAGCTAACAGGCTCTTTGCTCCAGCATCCTAATTACAGAACCTATGTATAAATGGGGGCAGCATCTACCCCTTTCCCTCTCTTCTCTGAAGGCAGTGGCTACCAAGCAGTGTAGTAACATCATCTTATCTGAAAAAACTCTCTGGACACATTTAGTGTATGCAAGACTCTCTGATAATAATCTGAATACTTGGGCTCTGACAGAGCCGAGTTGTGAGGGTGCTGCTAAGCTGTTCACCAGTGTCAAGTGTAAGCAGAAGTGTCTGAGAAAGCTGGTTGTAAGATGTAGTAACTTGTCTGCAGGCACGCTCACGTTTAGGAGTGGCTGAGTAGAGGCCTTATAACAGTAGGGGCCTTGTGCACCAAACTTTTGGATGTAGAGGACTTGCATCATGCCCAAGCAATACTCTGGAGACCTAAAGCCATTTGTTTTGGATCATTAACTTTCACCTTTTGTTTATGTAGCCTTTGTTATTTGCCTGCTTTGCAGCCTGCCCTCTTTCTTTTCTTCCGTGCCTTGCTCAACTTGAAACCAGGAAAACTGAACTTATGATACAACATTCATTATTCCATTTTTTTTGCATAACATTCTGCAAAACTATCGCAGACTGCAATACAAAGTGAAAAATATACAGCTAGGCTTTATATTGAGAACAACAGAATAAACTTACATTGAAGTCTCCAGGATGTGGCTGCGACTGGATTTCACTCTTATGTTTTTTGCTGGAGGAGATGGAAGGTAATAGACTGCTGCCATTAGGTCTGCTGGAGGAAGTTAAATCATCGTTGGAGTATTTGTGTTTTGATGCATCGGAGAGGGGAGAGACGGGTGACCGAAGCATTTTCTCATTTTTATTTATTGGTATTGCCAAGCTGGAAATGGAAATTACAGTAATGGAGTGTCACAAAGCTGGCTTTGAGAAAGGTAAATGTTTTATATATTACCAAAACTTTGAATTTAAAACCTGCTGGCAGGATAAAGTCTATTGGTATCTGGAAACAAGCTTACAGTATTGGGACCAAGAGTTCATTTACAAATTTGTATCATGTTTCTCCTCTTTCCCTTCAAGGCAAATTGTAATTCTGGAGTTAATATAAAGTCTGTATCAGAGTACTTGAAAAAAAAAACCCACAACAGAGATAAATGGCCACTTGCTCACCATTTCTTAAGGGATAGCTGGAGATGAAGATTAGGCTCTGAAGTTTAAGTTCAGGTTATGGAGTCCTATTTCACCATTACAGGTGACAATTTATAAGCCATGGCAATAAAACCATATGTGAACAAAAACAGGAAATGTGTTTAAAGATGACTGGCTTGTCTTTGTGCTCAATGTCCAGTCTTTGGTAGCACTGTTTATACTAATCTAATACAGATTTTGAAGACAAAGAAAGATAGGCTGGTAGTGCAGACAAAAGGAAACATATGCGAACAGTAGACAGAGAAATGTGAACTGCTCTGTCTTCTAAAGTAGAAAGCTGTAACACAGTATTTTCAACTTTCATTTATTTGGGAGAAGCTTTGGATGAGAAGTCAGAAAGACTGTAAAAATATGCCCAGAAATAAACTTCAGATGCACTAATTTGAAGAAAATATTTAGCTGAAAATGTTAAAGCAACACACAGAAATAAAAGCTTTTCTTTAAGGAGACAGTTTGCATTAAGACTAAACTTGTGATTAAGGTCAGACAGACTATTTTAACACAATCCCTTTCCCTGTCACATTCCCCTTTATTCAGCCCATTACGTTTTATGGACAATTCTCACTTCTTTATAGTTACTGTATCAGACAATATACACTTAATGGAATCACAAAAAAAGAATATGGTGCAAACTATACTTCATTTCTGCACATAGTTTCAGGGAACTAAGCTAATTAAATATGCTCTTATCATACATTTGTCCATTTATCTCGCAAGTCTTTAAAACTAGCTGTGAAAGAGGCCGTGAATTGTAATTCAGAACCTTTCCTGTTTCCTACAGTGTAGTACCTTGAAAACATGATGTGAACTATTTGGCTTTTAATGATCAAT